TACTACCGCAGCGCACACCCCAAGGAAGGTGCGCCGCACCATTTGAATCACTTTCGCTTGAGAGTGATTCAAATTTTAAACTTATCAAGGGACCGCGTGAAAAAAAAAACACCTACAGAACATTTATTCGTTAATAAAATTACAAACGTCATTCCTTGTGACTTCCTCTCTAAATTAACTCAATTATTAAATATTTAACGAGTTGACAATAGTGTTTTACTCACTGCGGAATAAAACTATTTTATTTAAATAGTTCCGAAGAGATTTTGTCGGTAGCCTTTTTCCCGAAATATCTAAACAGAATGTCTAAATATGTTTTGATGACATATTTTAAAGTGGTATTTATGATTAGTGTCATGATCAATAGATTCCGACCGAAAAATGGTGTCCGATTTTTCGGATGAGGGCTCCATAATGAATTTAAATATATATAGATAATAGTTTTAGGGCATCGACTTTCTTGAGATCCTATAAAATATGTTTTAATTATTATTTTTGTATGTTTTAAGCATGATAAATTATGAAATTTTATATAAGCAATCATATTAAATCGATATCAAAGTCAATAAATAATGTACAACCCAAAACAGACGGCCGAACTGACGTGACAATGACATTTGGCGCGCTAAACATGGCGGATTTTCGGCCTCATTAGACGGAGACGGAGACATTTACGTATATTCATGTTTCATTTTATGTACGCACTGAAATACTGTTATATTGTTTTCCTGCGAGTTAAAGTGCTGAGTAAGAACGAGATAGATATATGTTTATGTGTGTGCCTTCAAAATGGGTGCTATTTATATAAGCAATAGTACGTATAGAACAATATGTCGTGTCCCTACTATATAGGTCTATGGTAGTTACCGGGGGCCACGATGAGAGGGTTCTCGTGTCGTGCCGCTTTATCGAAGTGATATATTTGAGTCATAACCTATCTTTTTTATACCTTCATAACGATAGGTAGGAGGATGGAAAAAATGTATTTAGTCTAACTTTGCGCCAATGCACATTATTTCATTTATTTACTTTTTAATTTTTTTAATTAAACTGTATACCAATTAGTTGCTCCTTCACGACTTATATTTATTTAATTTTTTTTCACGATTAAAACCGCGTAGAAAGTTTAGGCATTATAGTTGACGCATGCGCAGTACACATATTTTGCATACATTTATTCAACTAATACAAATAGTTAATTATTATTATCATTATTTATTATTATTATTATTAACATAGAAGTAGAAACACAAGCATAATGTGCATCTGTGCTTGAACTAGGTGATAAAACCTGTATCTCAAGCAAAATTAATAAAAAAAAAAAAAAAAAAACGAGTAATTTCGAAAAAGAACAAACGTGTTTTATATAAGAACAATCGAAAATGAATATTTACGAGTCATTAAGGATGAAAAAATATTAAAAAATTGCATTAGAGGGGCTAACTTATAGGTATATTTTTAAATATTTTTTAAAAATAAATAATAGCAGAACAAACAATTATTAATAGTAAACAATCAAGAACAAATGATGAACAAACGAATTAATAGAAAATAAGTAGAAAATAGGAAAAAAAAAATTTTTGAGGAGCTAACTTCATTCACCTTTGCAAGTGCACCATAATCTTAAACTCTGAGCTTGTAATACTCACTAGACAAAATAGGTAGATTGATCTATTTATTTAATAGCTTCGACATATGTTAATTTATAAAGGAAAAGTAGTCAAGGGTACCTACTAAGTAAAATGATTAATAGGGAGAATTAAAGCGTTAATCATTATCATTTGAATTTTGGGCGAATTATTATCAATCACTCATCTGTGACCACGAAAACTTTAAACTATCCGTCACTTCAGAAAAGGTATTTGTAATAAGGCATAAGATTAAATTTTTTTTAACTATCCACGTCTCTCTAAAATCAAAATAAATACTATTAGTTTGATATGAATTAAGTCAAGACATAGATTATGATAGGTGTTGCTCACCTAGCTTTTATTAGGTCTGGTGATATCGTAATTGAAATGGTTTTGTATCCGCTATTTTGGTTTTTGGGAAATATCTGGGGAGTTATCCTAGTGGAAAAATAAATTTGAAAACTATTCATTTACAATGAGTACATAGCAAAATTCAAACTCCACGCTGAGGCTCTGGATAAATAATAACCCACACCAAAATACTAATTAAAACTCAATTAATTACTACCACACTCAAGGTAGATACAATTCCCAATTCGCTTTCGCTTCGCATTAGGTGATTCATCGCTGTTTCGCTTTTGATATAACTGATTAAGCTACTAACTCCCTTCATGACAACAGGGGTCGTCGTGCTTCTTTGCGGGGGTATGGAGTGGGCCTCGGGGCGAATTCCACTGCCTAGGAATCGGCTCCCTGCTCTAATGGCAGCTTCATGTCGTCTTTGCAACTGTAGTCAACATGACATGCTTACAATTTTCCAGAACATTTCCAGTAGTACTAGTCGCTTCGATATCTGTTTCCACTATTTGATATTAGATGGCGTTACTCGGACCGACCTAACGCTTCTTGAGCATTCTCGATAGTACTAGTTATTTTGATATCCGACTGCCTGACTGATTCGGTGGTGCAGTAGTCAGCGCCCCTGACATGTGTGCCGAGGGTTGTGGGTTCGATTTCTACTTTGGGCAAACATTTGTGCGAGTTTGTATACTCTTTGAATGGGTGTATAATTATGTAAATATGGACAAAACAAAAATAAAAAAGTATAGAGGTATCTCTGAGAGGTATGTGGTACACAAAACACATTGTTTTGTTCCCAGTTGATATTTACTATTAAATCTGTTTCTGCCATTTGACGACACATGACATAACTAGAACGGTATAAAAAATTTAAGCGACTATTGGGTTTTTCGCCGAAACGTTAGGAATGTAGCTGTGTGAAATGTTTATATTGTGAATTTGATGTTGCTTCAGGATAAATGGTGGGTTATTAAACGTTTAAATCTGTAAAAGTGCACTACTGTGATAAATGAAAGTAGCTGGATATAGTTTTTTGAGTTATCCCAAAAAACCAAACTGGTGGTAGGACCTCTTGTGAGTCCGCGCGGGTAGGTACCACCGCCCTGCCTATTTCTGCCGTGAAGCAGTAATGCGTTTCGGTTTGAAGGGTGGAGCAGCCGTTGTAACTATACTGAGATCTTAGAACTTATATCTCAAGGTGGGTGGCGCATTTACGTTGTAGATGTCCATGGGCTCTAGTAACCACTTAACACCAGATGGGCTGTGAGCTCGTCCACCAATCTAAGCAATAAAAAAAAACAGTGAAGAACCGAAATTTCCACCCATACCACAGATATTGCAACATTATTTTATTTCATCTTGTTTCATTCAATTTAATTCCAATGGATTTCGAATAAATGAACTTTATTTTATTTCATTTCAGAGTATAAGTGATTTATATTTGGTCAAATGTACCTATTTAAAAATAAAATGAACTTTTATTTGAAATGATGAATAATGAAATTTTATTTTGATGTTAGCATTAACGCCGTCACTAGATATCAGTTTCGATATTGAGGGACGTGAATAGTCACGTTATATAGATAGCCAGTCGAGACTTTATCACCACGATAACTTGATTGCGCTTTGGCCATAATACTGCACCGTCGTACTTTGCTAGACTTGGCATTAATACAAACAATCTATGTACACTCTATGGATCCAAAGAAGTATGGAGGGTAGAGGTAAGGAGAACCGCCTCTGTGTGTGAAAAAGTGTCCGTTAAAATCTGCTAAATAAGGGTAGCACTACAGTAGCAAGCGGGTGAATTTTAAAAAAGGCGCTGAAAGTTATTGGAATAAGACAGAGAAAAAAAAGGACGAAAGAACTGTAAGCACTAAAAAATCACAAAAAGTATATTATTTAAAGCTGATAAGAAAATGCAATCGATGTCTTCACGTTTTACCACAGCAATACATTTAGGTTATTAACAAAATTAGTTTGGATTACGTCAACATGTGAGGTCTTGTATATTACACTGTCACTAACTACTCTAGTCATTAAATATATTAAATTTCCTAACTCAGCATACTTCAATCGCTTAACAACTGCTCAATTCATATCATACCCTGTGCCTATGCTAGCGCCATTGTGGGGAATTTTTTAAATGTTTAGTGCTGAAGAGGGACACTTTTTCAAGCTTCTCCCTTAAGAGACGGTTCTCCTTACCCCTGCCCTCCATACAAAGAAGGCACCTTGGAGCATCTTATTTTTGACGGTCAAAACTTCTTGCTTGACAGATTAGTATTGGATAATCAACTCAGTGGTGTGAAAATTGAGTCCGATTCTTCATTCCGCCCGCCGCCACTTGCAGAGTTATTAAAAGACATACACAATTACAAATCGATATAATAATATATTACTATATACATACTGTTATACATACAAAACAGTAAATGATTAAATCACAGATTTGAATTCTTTATTAGGTCTATGTCTATTGTATTATCTATGACCATAGATTTTGTTTTTGGTACAATTTTTCCTTATTAGGAAAGGCAAGGGGATCTAAGCCCATACAGTCGTGACCATAGACAATACAATTACTATGACCACAGATTATAATTAAATTAAGTACATTTGCAGTGCACAGGATTGAGGTATTTTGGCGGGAACGCGAGGAGTAAAATTGTGTGATTTGTTTTATTTTGTCTATTTAGTGTTTATTCAGGTTTAAATGTGTTATAACGGTGGTTTATTAACTTTTTAATATCTGTGAAAGTGCACAAATGTGGGAGAATGAAACAAAGCCGATGGTCGTAACTTCTCGGGATCCTCCAAAAAGTCCACTGAAAAAGTCTCAGTTAATGACCACCTTTTTACTGAGATTATATTTAATTCCATATTATCATTTTTCATAAAATTAAGAATATTAATTAAAATAAGATATGACCTAAAGGTCTTAACTACCAAGTCATAAAATCCTTTAAAAATATATATTAAAATGACAATAAATTTAAATACGGATATTCTTCGATGCAATATGTGATTTATGCGGATTTGTTATTAAATTATACAATGGAGATACCATACAAGAAAATATGTATTTATTTATTGACGTTTGCAGCTTACGCGTATACTGGTATTGGATCTAATATGCTAAGAAATTTGAAAGATGCTGTTCTATCCGCAGAATCAGTTTTTGGAGATATGTTTCGTAATGTTATTACTGTTGCCGAGAAATTTAAATCTTTACATGATGTATTCGATGCAGCCGTAGAAGAAGAATGTATATTTACTTGTCCAGGAGGTAATTTTTTAATCCTTTGGCTTATTTATGTAAACAACAAAAAGTTAATGGTGTAATTATTTCAGGCCAAAAGCCAGTTAGAAACCGAAATCATATACCAAAATCTGATGGATGTGGTTCATTGGGATTTGAAATATCATCGGAATACTTACCATTAAATGAGATGACAAAATGCTGTGATGCTCATGATATTTGTTACGACACATGCAACAGCGGAAAAGAAGTATGTGACCTAGAGTTTAAGAGATGTCTCTATAATTACTGCAATTCATATAAATCTGTGAACATTGCTGGTGAGACTATCACTAAAGGTATGTTGTGATCTGAAAAGTTGTGTGTGGTTACTTTCTTTTAAAAATTAATCTAAGGAATTTAAAACTTTTAGGTTGTAAAGGTGCAGCTAAATTGCTATTTACAGGAACACTTACATTAGGATGTAAATCATATTTGGATGCACAGAAGAATGCTTGTTACTGTCCAGACAAGAATACCAAGTACAAGAAATATTCAGGAAATGGTGAATTGTAGTGTTTGTGATTATTGTTAGTTAAAACTATTTATTTGTTGTCGTACTATCATTTGAAGCCAAAGAAGAAGAACTAGCACAGATGTTAGTGTTAGAATTCATTTCAAATTTTGGTGTATTGTTTTATTATATTTTTAATATATGTGGTGTCATCGGTATATATATATTCACCATATATGTCCCTTGAATCACTTTGTCTAGTCTACATCATTTACTAATCTTATGTTATAATTTTTTTATTAATTTATTTTATAATCCAAAGTCCTGAACAGATACATTTTAAAGTAAGTGGAGTGCGTACTTTGTTATTTTAGACAAGGATTATGGTGCTATGTAGCTGCCCTTTTCATTGGTTGATTGAAGAAAAGTATCTGTGCACTTTATGTAAAGTCTAATATCACTATACAGGGTAGGTTATTGCATTACTGCCAAACACTTAACACCACATAGATAATAAACAAAATAAATGTGGAATTGATAAATATTAAGATCTTAAAAATCATCATACTTCATCTATAACTTAAATGAGTATACCAACTGCATATGTGGTCAGTAAATGGCTTATTTTAAATCTCCTCTTACATATTCTAACACTTCTAATTGGCTGATTGCAAACCAAAGCACATTGAAATGTCACTGCCAGTAGTGTGATTGAAATTATGCTGTTACACTACTGGGAAACAACTAGATAGTATGGAGCAGACAGTAAAGCAGTAAAGAGAAATAAGTAGGTATGTCATAAAGAAAAATCACAAATTTCCTCTTCATGTCAATGAAATAAGAGCACATATCATTTTATGTTATCAGGTACATTATTGGTACAAACTGTTGATTATCTATATATATAAAAATGAATTGCTGTTCGTTAGTCTCGCTAAAACTCGAGAACGGCTGAACTGATTTGACTAATTTTGGTCTTGAATTACTTGTGGAAGTCTAGAGAAGGTTTAAAAGGTAGATAAATATGAAAATTCTCGCTCTCGGAATTAAATAAAGTTTAGGTCTTTTATTTATCGATTGAGGCACCACGAAGTATGCCGGGTCAGCTAGTATTTCATAATGTATTGGTTTCACATTTGTATACACCCAAAGAGACCCCTAGAGATACAAGAGATTTTTAAATAAAATTAACTTTTAATTTTTCGCTTTTTATTTGGTGAGAACACTACATCATAATTAACTGGAATATCCCAATGAGTTTATTAAATAATTTAATTACTAAAAGTATAATAATTTTATGGGGCTTAAATTTTGTTGTTAATATTTTTGCAGCTCTAACTTTAAGGGGTTTGCTCTATAATATATTTAAGATGCCAAAAACTACTTTATGGATGCATAATCAAAAATAAATTTCTTTCAAACCATCATACCTTTGAGCATACAAAAATAATTGATTTATTATAATTAGAAGCTTTAAAAAAATATATTGTTGAATTTTTGTATGAATCTATACCTTAGCATAACAAAGTAAGTTTATTAGTGAGATGATAAAAGTTCCAGTATAGTCATTCACGTCAAGAGTTCTTTGATTTCATCTTTTTCAGCAGCTTCAAGGTATGGGGTGCCATCTGGGGTTTTACCATTCTTAGAAGCTCCCTGCAAGCAAGCAAACAATTTGTAATTAGTTAATTTAAGAGAATTTGGAGAATTTCTTTATGCTTTAGATCCTCTTCTTCCTTCATCCATTTGTAATAACAATTATCCTATCTTTATAGCCTTATCCAACTTTTCTTCTTATTATTTTTATTTATACAGTCTACATTTGTTACAAATTTAAAAAGTTTTCTAGATTTCTTTTTATTGCACAATATTTCCATGATCAAAAACTGCTGAGTGAATTTAGAGCACATATTCAGTAGCACAACCAGAAACCCTTTCAGTAAAGTGCTCACTTTGATGATAATAATGCCTGTGTCCCTAGAAGACTACTGGCTCTGGATTCAGCAAAGTAGTTTCCATGACCATCACATCAGGCAACATGATGGAATCCAGCAGGTGAGTCCTCTTGGTGTTCACCTTAAGTTAACTATGACTTAATTCAAAGTACAAATCATAATGACTCAAGATGATTTGTGAGCTTGTTTTATTAAACAATGTTATTCCTTAATAATGGAAGTCATTTGTGAATATATGTTGAGTATGTAATTCATTATGCCAACTGTACATGTTTGTCGGGACACCACGAGACAGAATAAGGACGAGTGTGTTCATGGCACCCTTGTCTCAGCTCGTGGCTCTCGGAAACGTGTCAGTTTTTACGCTCTAGTCCAAGGGTCTCAGGGAGTCTTGAGATGAAAACCAGAGCATGCCTGTACACGCTCATTCATTTAGTTGTCCGTCAACTGCATCAGTTTCTTCTAGGTCCATTCCAAAGAGAATTTGAAGTTCAATTGATACAACAAGTGTGTACATGGTGTGGTCTCGTGTCAAGCTTCTACGAGACGAGAGCAAACAAGCGACACATGAGACAATGAGATGAATGTGTACAGCACATTAGAAAAATTGTTACCCAGCTGCTGGATTCCAACAATGGTACAGTCACAATTCAACACTAATGCAATAGGAATCTTAAACCTTTATGTCACAATGGCCTTAAATTTTTTTTTTTTTTAATTATAATTACATGATATTATTTACCCCTTTGACTGTCGTGTAGGTCACCAGTGCCTTCAGTGGCCACATTAAAGTAATTATGTCGATTTCTATTATTTAGCACCTCGATTGCCTAACTTTGCTTTCTTTTGTTTTTAATGAATTGAACTTTTAGGTCTTTTAAAAATAGATTCATTCTCATTTTCTTCTGATTTATCTTTCGCAGAGTCTACTAGATATTATAGCGCTTAGTAAGAAGATCGAAGACAGAAATTGACATAATTGCTTATCTGCCCCATGTAGGGTGCCAGTGATCTATGTAGCAGTAAAAGGGTTAATTATTTTTAAAGCTCTGTAATTGTTAATTATTAAATTATTAATATCACAATTCTATGTATTATTTAAACTGCGAACATACTTACATTCTTGAGTAATGTTTTGACACAGTCAGTGTGGCCTTCCCATATTGCAGCTAATAGAACTGATATTCCATGTTTATCAACAACCTGTCAATTACCAAATTAAGTGTCTACAGGTAAAATAGTTATTTGTATGTTACAAATCAATCATTCTGGTTTATGGTTAATCTATGCTTACATTTGGATCAGCCCCTTTGTTCAGTAAATAGTTCAAGACCGTTGTTTGTCCATAGTCTGCTGCATAGTGTAATGGAACTCTTCCATCTATAGAAGCATTCACGTCTATTTTCTAAAATAATATTATTGCACGACATTAAATCATTTATTAAGGCATGATATTAGTATCATAATTGCATATTATCTAAATCTGTAAAAATGGTCGTACAATGGTAAGTACAAAGAAGTATAATGAAGCAAGGATAATTTTGGGACATTTTGTTGTTTGTAATTACATTCTCGAGTGCAAGAATACTTTCTCTTGCCAACAATACAATGCTAGCGGTTTCGTATGTTTACGCAAATAATGAATAATGTAAAATTATGATGTACACTGCCTACCTTATTTTCAATAATGTCCTTTACTTGGTCTATATCCCCGTTTTTGATTCCCCAAACTAATTCGCTCATGATGATGTACTTTTTAATCCTTTTTAAGTTTATCACTTTTTTAAATCGAATACAATACAATGGAAGAAATGGCGTTTTTGTCAGATTTTGACATTTTTTTTTAAATTAGTGACATAGTAGTAATTTCATTTTTCCAACTGGAAAGCCGAAGCTATCACACCATACAGCCTAATCTTTTGTATTTTTTGATGAAGGTGAATAATTTGAGACATTAATTAATTTGAATGAAATTAAATGAAATGAGATGAAATAAAGTGTCAGTAAAATGGTGATTATTTACTGAGACAATTACTGGACTTTTTGGAAAATCCCGAGAAGTTACGTCTAGCGATTTTGTTACTATTATTACACACAATTAAACTTGAAAGCTGAAGGTATCAGACTACACACAAGAAATTAATTTTACCCAAAATAGAAATAGTGTGAAATTTAATAAATTAAATCATGAGACGAAATAATAAATGATGATTTAAGATGCAACCAAATGCAGTAGCCTCTCTGTAAAGTTATGGAAATTTATTGATTATTTAAGGATTTTTATACAAATACGGACGAAGCAAGTATTTCGACGTAGCTATTTACGTCTACCGATTTGATTTCATTTGTTTAAACTTAGTTTTGTATTCTTTTATTGATACTAAATGGTCAATAAATTACAAATTTTATGTGTTTAAACCAGAAGCAACTATTACATTGATAAAATAAATGTAGTGTCTTAAATAGCTTAACCTCTAGCACCGCGCTTATTATATAAGATTAAATATCCAACACATCGAGTCATAAGTACAAGCTTTAAGCACGAGTCATTGAACTCTACGCATTTCGAACAATAGTTTGAAACGATGCTACCTAAACTTGGAGAAAAATTTGAGTTGGTAATGGAAATGCATCATATCATTCAAAGCGTCTTGAAAATAATTCTACTACTGCCTGAAAAAAAGGACATATGTATATAAAACTAGCCAGCAGATTACTGCTGAAAGATGGAAACGTTGTGGGGCACGTCACCAAGGAAGAAAACAACTTTTATGGCAAAATTGATGAAATTATAGATAGACACTTTTGTTATTTAAGTTACTGATTCAGAAATAGAATACTCGGAATCGTCGGGCGACAGTAATAATTAATATGTTAAGAAATTTATTGTAGGTATACCTACAGGTATCTATAACAAAAATAAAAATCATTTTTTTTTTATTTGATCCACAGGTTGTGAGCCCCAGAACGTGTGTTTATAAATAGCTTCTCGTGACCGGGGACTACAGTAATAGGGGTTATAGTATAAATTTTTGAATACGAGTTCCGACGCCGAACTAACGCTTCAGAAACAGCTTGCAATATCAATGTTGCGTATGAAGAGGGGACTTTTACTTTTTCCTAGCTATGCTGATAGCCTTGAGAGGCTATTTCAGCTTCTCCTTGACGCTTAGGTGAGCTCACGGGGCTCAAACCGGGAGTGTTGCTAACACTGACCCTAGTAAGAGCAGTGCTTCGCAGAATCTACCACCGGATTGGAAACGCGACTCGCGAAACGGCAGATGTCTACTGTGCTGAACTCCGAACAATGATAGCAAAATTTGTAGTGAAACAGCCCTGATTCATGAATCGATCTTTGCTATTACTGCTCCATGATAATGCGAGTCCTAGGACAGCACGAGAAACCGTTTTAACTCTACAGGAAATGCAATCAGAAACCATTCGTCACCTTCCGTATTCGCCAGACCTTGCTCCAACGGACTACCTTTTTTTTCGTGATTTGGATAATTTTTACGTGATAAAAAGTTTTCTTTCCAGGAGGCAGTACAAAATGCTTTCACACAGTTTGTAGAATCTAATCACCAGAGTTCTATTGAAAAGGCATAAACTTCGATCAACAATAGTGATCGAAGGGCATAAACGACCTTTCTATTAGATGGCAGCAATGTATTGATAACAATGGTAGATATCTTTATTAAATAAATAAATTAAGTTAAAAAAAAGTTTCAATTTTTCAGTATATCGGCAATTTCGTATTTTAACCCATTCCGATAGAAGCACCCGCCGCCTGCGGACATGCTCATCGACCACTCAATTGCCCGGTTTTTGTTAGCCCGACTTTTGTTTAAGTTGCGAGAAGCTGGGGGCTCGCCACAAGGCGAGTTTGTTTAAGACTCGGGGCAGCCCCACCTGAGCACTCAGCTATCATAAACGTTGTATTTGCAGAGTTTCTCTGGCTTCGCCACCCAAAGCTAACTTCCGAATTTTTGGCTTTCAGGGCCGATCACGCCGTGAGCCCTTTCGTGGATTCCGCCGTGCTTGTCGTTTAAGGCCAAAAAATATCAATTTTGTCAGTGCCCGTAGCCGTGCCAACCGGATTCAGATAAAAGTGATGACACCAGGTGACCATTGGGGCCTCCCAAGCTACCTCCGAAAGGAGCTTTTAAATTTCCACACTTACACAATTCAAAAGGAGCGTGAGCTCCGCGTGGTCATACACGGCATCCCGAAGGAATTAGGTGCCGACCTCCTAAAGGCCGACCTTCTAGAACAAGGTCTGCCGATCGATTCCGTGCACCGCATGCACACAGGACGCGGGAGGGAGCCATACAACATATGGTTCTCGTCGCTCTCCAGCCTACCCCCGAGGGTAAGTAAATCTTCAACGTTCGAACAGTCTGTAGGCTTTCCGGAATAACCGTAGAAACTCCCCATAAAAAGGCACTGCGAGTCAGTGCCACAGCTGTCAGTTGTACAGGCACTCTGCCCGTAATTGTCACGCGCACCCTATAAGCGTCAAGTGTTTGGGCGACCACGCCACGAGCCTTTGCACTCCGATCAAAAAAGCGCAGTGGAACCGCCTAGCTGTGTCCTGTGCCGTACACAGGGTCACCCCGCGAATTGCCCCTCCCCTCCGACCGCATCCGACAATCTCGCTCTAGCGATCGACTTTTTTCAGTCGATCAACTTCGAGCACATTAACGCTTTGGGTGACTCCATCTGCGCCGCCTCCACTGCACAACACTTGATGACGATTTTATGGCGAAATAAAGAAGGGACTTTAAGTGGACTCTCTCTATAATAATATGGCTCAAATTATGTATTGAGCACTGTGACTTTTTGGCGGAAACGCGAGGAGTGCAGTTGTGTGATTTGTTTTATTTTGTCTATTTAGTGTTTCTTCGGGTTTAAATGTGTAATAATGGTGGTTTATTAACTGTTTAATATCTGTGAAAGTGCACAAATGTGGGAAAATGAAACAAAGCCGCTGGACGTAACTTCTCGGGATCCCCCAAAAATTCCACTCAAAAATTTTAGTAAATGACCACCATTTCACTGAGATTATATTTCATCCCATTTCATTTCGTTTAATTTCATCCCCGTTGATAAATGTCTCAAATTAATCATCTTCATATCATTTCACTCCATAATATCATTTTTCATAAAAATATGAATATAAATTAAAATAAGATATGACTTAAAAGACTCAGTTAGCAGGTCATAAAATTCCTTTAAAAAAATTGAGCACTGTTTGTGGACTTTTTGGCGGGAACGCTAGGAGTGAAGTATGATTTGTTTTATTTTGTCTATTTAGTGTTTCTTCAGGTTTAAATATGTAACAGTGGTGGTTTATTAACTGTTTAACGTCTGTGAAAGTGCACAAATGTGGGAAAATGAAACAAAGCCCCTGAACGTAACTTCTCGGGGTTGTCCAAAAAGTCCACTGAGAAAGTCTCAGTAAATAACCACCATTTTATTGAGATTATATTTCATCCCATATCATTTCAGCTCATTTCATTTAGTTGTCATATCATCCCAGTTGATTAACGTTTCAAATTAATCATCTTCATTTCGATGCCTCCAATGAACACTACTCTAACTCATAATTTTAAAATTTTCGTTTTTCACGCAAATCGCTTCACTATTTTAAAAGTATTACAAATTCATTATTGATGGGGTTCGATGGGGGCAAGAGTAAATCAGCTAGTTACACAAGAAAAAAACATAAATATATCTGCAATAATAAAGATTTTATCAATTTTTTTCGTTTAAACTCTCCTCCTGTAAACCTACGAATTTGGAGTTAGTGTTCATTGGAGGCATCGATTTCATTTCATAGTATCGTCTTTCATAAAAATAGGAATATAAATTAAAATAAGACATGACTTAAAGATCTTAGTTACCATGTCATAATATCCCATAAAAAAATATGCACTGTCTGTGATTTAAACGGTCAAAAAATCAAATTTGATAAAATTTGAAAAATTTGTTGTTTAAAAACTATAGAAAGGAATTAAGAAAACAATGAACATAAAATGCATAAAATAAAATTTGAGCTTCCTGATAACTCTGGAGAATCTACAAAGTATTTAATTGTATGTAAATTGACTTTTATTTACCTATTTTCTTAATAAAATGGATCGAATGATTGCTGATCATTTACTTACAATTTTTCAGACGCTTTTGATTAAAGAAATACATCCTAGTATTGGAGAAATTCGGAAGAAATTACAAGTCAAACACATAGAGGAGCAGGAATTAATTAAAATTCGGGAAGTAATAGCACTGTGTTGTAATCAAATAAAAAAATGTGTGGTAAACCTTCTTGGAATATTCAAGTTAGAGTACAATCAAGGAATATTTCTTCAGGTATAAAAGAATATCGTAACTATGTTAGCATACTTATTCACAGGTCTAACTTAATCATTTTGTAATTCTTGATTTTTTTTTTATATTGCCCTTGTAGGCAAATCAGCATGCGTCCCACCTGATGGTGAGTCGCCCATGGGTTCCAGCAATGCCAGGCGCAGAGCCAAGCTGCTGCCTACCAAAATTTTCATTGTAATCAATCTCCTGCAATTACCCTGATTTATATTGTTGAAAACGAATGCAAATTGATTCTGTTTCAGTAACTAATATGTAAACAGTAGAAACCACATAGGAATAAACTATCAACTTTTTAGCAAATAACTAAAAAATAGTAAAATAATTTTTTAGGAAATGTTTTTTTACAACCCAACCCATTACTTAAATTGAAATATTGAAATTAGGCTGCCTTTTAAATAGTTAACTTTGCTCACTTGCTTTGCTGGTTTGAAATTTTTACCAGATACCATAAACTTCACAACAGGAGTGCTGCCGACCACCTCGAGATGTGAGTTTGAAGTTTCAATTGTATTGTTTAAAGGCTGTCCTGCCCTTCAAACAGGAATGCATTCCTAAATTAATATTCTTATTATTATTAATGTTAATTTTAATTTTGAGTAAGTAATTATGATCTAAAATATAGGCTGGATTATCTTGCATCAAGGAACTAAGACAATTTAGTTGTAAATTTATGAAGTAAAAATATTTTGTCATTATTATACGTTAATCATACAAATAATTTAATAAGCTGATGCATGTATAGAATCCCTCAGGTCGTTTCAAGCAGTTCAATGTTGTTGCTAATACCATATCTCGCAAGCTGTTCTGTGCTGTATAGTTCCATATTGATGTTTCACGAGTGTGCTTTGTGGTACAGCAAAATAAAACTAAAACAAATACAAAAAGCTGTCACTATGCAGTTTGGTAAAGTACTAACAAAAACTGCCTAATGTAACTGAAAGCCTAGTAGATTAATTCTACAATCTTTTAAATTTAAAGAGTTATTGTAGATCGAAATATAAATAACGTTTTTTTACAGGAAAGCCGCCAATGTCACGTAGAGAGATTGGAATGGTGCATAGACAGATTAAATACAATAGACCAACATCTTGAAAAAAGAAACAGTAATTTGTCTAATGACAATACAGATGATTCAATTAATGTGACCACAATGTATTTTGTGAACTGGATTGACCACACATTTGAGGTTTTATCAAAATTATCCGAAGTTGTCTATAAAAATGATTATAAAGAAAATTTTGGGATGTGTGAGCTCTGGAAATCTGAAGTGAGTGATATTTGACTAGACTAGATTAGACTAAAATTATAATTTTCTATTTTCTTATTAATCCGTGATCTTCCACGTTGAAGGAATAACGTCCTGTAATAAAAATCAAATGCGCAAAATTATAGTTTCCATAATCACTTGTGGTAGGACGTCTTGTGAGTCCGCATGGGTAGGTTCCACCACCCTGCCTATTTCTGCCATGAAGCATTAATGCCTTTCGATTTGAAGGGCAGGGCAGCCGTTTTACTGTTAAAGATGAGACCTTAGAACTCATGTCTTAAGATGGATGGTGGCATTTCTAGACGTTGTACATGTCTATGGGCTCCGGTAATCACAAAACATCAGGTGGGCCGTGGGTGGCTTGTCCATCCATCTAATAAAAAATAAAATAAAATAAATTGTAATCATTTTCCAGTTGCTGCAGATACTGAGCGATCTTCATCTTGCAATTGATGAGCTACTACTATCTGCTATGACGCTTTGCAAATATTGTCTACCAAGTGATCAGCACATAGTCAAAGCTAGATGTCAAGTTGTAAGATATTCCTAATAATTATTGGTAGTTGAATAGTATTGATGTGTACATTTATGCTCTGTACATTTCTTCATGTAACACTGTTGAAGATAAAATAAAATTCATATAAAACATAACATTTATTAGAGCTACAAGTAGATTTTTGTCTCTTTTGAATATTTTTGTTCATTTGATCTCATTTTCCCTTTTTTTTTTTATTGCTTAATTGGGTGGACGAGCTCACAGCCCACCTGGTGTTAAGTGGTTACTGGAGCCCATAGACATCTACAACGTAATTGCGCCACTGACCTTGAGATACAAGTTCTAAAGTCTCGGTATAGTTACAACGGCTGCCCCACCCTTCAAACCGAAACGCATTACTGCTTCACGGCAGAAATAGGCAGGGCGGTGGTACCTATCCGCGCGGACTTACAAGTGGCCCTGCCACCAGTAATTACGCAAATTATAATTTTGCGGGTTTGATTTGAAGCTGATAAAGTGTTTATTTTATTAACCTTTACAAGAAAGGTGCAACAGGTAAGGTGAACAGGTAAGTGCTTATGTGATAAGCCTCATGATAGAAAACATCATTAGCAGTGATGTAGTGTCTAGAGACTGCACTAACTGTGAAAATTTTGAGGGCTGTGAGGTTCACTTATCATCTTTGATAAAAAACAAAAAGTTGGGAATGTAAGGTGTTTTTAACTCTGCCACCACCATTAATTCTACAGATGACATGATAATATTATTAGAATTTAGAGGAGGCCAAGTTCACATACTAATGTCTCCTGAACAATTATTTTAATTATAATATTTTCAACTTTTCAGGTATTACGGGAAACAAAAGCACTTATGACTGAGTTAATTAGTGGGGATGTGTCTTCAACAATTAAATTATCACCAGCAACTTTGAGATTACCCATAATGCCTTCTAATATCAATGTCCTTATTGATGTATTAAAGGATGTTCTGTATGTTCTTGAAACAAACACAAATACTGCTTTACTTGCATTATTAATACACTGTTTCAGTTACAGTAAGTCCCCTATTGATATATTTAAAGAACATTTTAGTAGCAGCTCAAGAGGGGTCTGTGACTGTTTGGTGAAAACTGAAATTGATGATACTGAAGATTGTATCTTTGTGAAAGAATTTGATTTGTATAATGAGAGGTTGTTGCAAATTGGTTCATTTGCCATATCATGTTCTTCAGATCAAAGCCGTAAGTATTGAAATTTTTGAGATAGAGTAGTTCAAACATTTGTCTAGAATAAAAGGTGTCCCCAATAAATATCTGAATCTGAAGCCAATTTGATACATATTTATGTATAATTAATTAATCAATAATTGAAATAAATGATTTACTAGCCTCAGTATGTATTGATGAACACAACTTTGATTAATGATAATTACTAATTCAGATTAAAATATGTATTTCACATATCTGAAATATAAACATAATATATTATTCTCTTGCTTATTAACATCTGCTTGTCTGCTTTAAGGTATACTATCAGTGCGAAGCGGTATAGCAAGTCTCGAAGCATTGGATCCTCACCTAGTACCGGCGCTAATGATGTCACCTGAAAGTTATCATTCGATGTTGCTGATGAATTCATGGCTACAAGAAGTTCAGGAAATACGAGACAGCGTGTTTTTGATTGTGGAACCCACTGCTTTTTCGGAGGTGTGTTAAATGATGAGCAGAATATGTTTTTATCCTACCGACCTTATGGACCGACCGCCTTATGGAGGCCTACTGGCGCTTTTGGGTTGGCAATAATCTGTTCTACCACAGTCTACTACTGTTTAATCTTTTGGGGAATATCTGTTGTCTATCTGTCAGTTTTCTCTTAATACTTTACTTAAACTAACCTAAATCGTTGAACGAGTCCGTCGCCCACTCGTTCTTAAACAGTTGCCATATCCCATAGACAGGAATTCGTTGTTGTGCACACAAATCATGTGAGGTCTCAGTTTTAATTGTATATTTTATTGGCTATCTCGCCCTTCAAATCAATATACGATACCGTTTCGCGGCATTAATAGACGGGTTGGTGGTACTAATCGTGCCGGCTAACCACAATTGGCTGTACCACCAGTAATCACGCAAATTAAAATTTAGCGGGTTTGATTTTTTTAACATTGTGGATGTCATTCATCAAGAAGTCTTAAGTACGTGTTTCATTAGAAAATTTGGTACCTGTCTCTGGGATTTCAACAACGAATCATATATTTTGTAAATCAAACAAATTCTACGTTTCAGAACTATAATTATTCAATGAAAGCCATGTTTCGTAACTATACATTCATTACATTTTCAGAAATCAAAACAAATGATGCACGAAAAATTACTGGAATTAGTAAAATCAAATTGTTACAACAATAGTGATGTGTGTGTTGTGATTAACATTGGAAGTATTGTTTATGATTTTTTTGAAGCTTACAATAAGAATGAACCAACTGCTCTGAATGATTATGACAAAATAAAACCATTATTAATTGATTTGAAGAAAGGTTAGTAAATTTATATACAGGGTCCCACAATGCGTATATTAAGCCGAAACGTGGTTATAGTAACAACAATGTTGTTACGTTAAAAATGTTAAAAAAATCCAAGTCGTAATTAGTAGTTTTGTACAGAAAATAATTTATTAATTGTTGAATTGTTCAGTTTTTTTTTCTCCTACCTAAGCTGATGTTCTAGAGAGACCATGTCAGCGTCGCCGGGCTAGTAGGTGAGCTCACGGAGCCCAAACCTGACGACGTTGCTAACACGAACCCTAGCAAGAGACGTGCTTCGCAGAATCTACCACCGGATCAGAAACGCGACCCAATGAGAAAATCCGGCGAGAAACTCAGTGGACTGTCTCTGTGGGTTTAATTACTCGCCGAGCCCTTCGTTGCAAACGACGGGTTCGACGAGAACGATCCGGTGCTTGGGGTACCTAAAAGCACTGCATTGCGGTGCCCTCGTCGCGGTCATAAGAGAGGACATGTTGCTACGGATATGGCTACGACGCTCTGCAGTGGTCTGTCCTGGAAGGCCATGTTCGACTTCTGCAATAGAGCAAGAGCCCGCGACAGCCAGACCTTCGTTATTTTATAAAAGCTGAAAGTTTCTCTGTGTATGTCTCCAACACAGGTAAGATCGACCCGCGATTATAGAGTTTCGATTGTGGTTACTTGGGCAGGTAACAGGCAGTAAAGGTATATAAAATAGTACCTTAAATTCGTTAAAGTATAAAGGTTTATTTTTTTTAATATTTACTCCTGAATATCTTTAGAAATCACGATATCCGTTGCCGGACACTTTATCCAGTTGTTACCCCCTGCCAGACACCCCTAAACTTTAATAAATTTTAATTATACTTTCGTTATACTATAAAAGCTAAATTTTATATATGTTACTTAGGGACTTATAAAAATATGTTACCCCAATAGCCGGACAGTTTTAATGGTTCTTACATCTTGCCAGACACATTGAGAGTCCGCTGTAGGTGCGAGCACGAGGTAGCAACTGTTCAAGCGGGTGTGAGCGAGATAGAGTGCTTAGTCTAATGTGATCTTTTAAGATATCCAATAAAAAAAATATTTTATTACGTTCATAGCAATATTATAGAAAATAAAAAATGTTATTTTAATATTATAAAGTACAAACAAAATATTACATGTCAAAGAAAAATATTTAATCGTTCTTATAATTTTCCTCATTGTCGTCGATATTGAACTGACAGTCGAGTCGGCCTGAGGGGCCTACGAGGGGGGGCATAGCTACTACCGTATCCGATTTGAGAGTACGAGCTAAGCGGTAGTAAGACCTTTGGGAGGGCGCGAGTCCTTCTAAGAAATCAGACCATCTGGCATCTCGGACTTCGGCGATGCGAGACTTTACGTCGCGTTGTAGGGCACGCATTCGAATACGATTTTCCGCGGTAGGATACCTATCGTAGGCGCGTATCGAGGCGTTCTTAGCTCTAAGGAGTTCCCTAATATCGTCGGGCAATTTGAAGCGGTGAAGGAAGTCCTCCGCTACAACTTGCTTCGATGACCTATCTAATGTCGAGGTGATGTGTGACGTTACGATGTCTATGGCTTCAGCGGTATCCTGAGGAGACGGGATAGAGTCCGGGTTAAACGGGAGCGATGGTGGATCAGATTCAGCCAGGCTGATGCCCAGCGTGTGCCAATCCACCACAGTCCTCGTGACGGGAACGGAATCGGGAGCGTGACCGAGCTTCATAATGACGGGACGGTGGTCTGAATCTAACTCTGAAACTACTTCGATCGAGTGTAAGCGCAGAGTTACGTTTTTTAATAACGCTATGTCGAGTATATCCGGGTGATGCGCGATATTTAGCGGGTAGTGAGTCGGGGTTAGCGGAGCGACGATATCGAAGGCGAGATCATCGACTAACGCGTCAAGCCGCCTGCCATTCGGGGTTGTGGTGTGTGAGTTCCACCTGATGTGTTTACAATTTAGGTCGCCCGCCAGAATGACAGAGCTCCCCATACCGAGTAGCGCCTCGATATCACTGCTTAGAACGATAAATCCTATAAACGATAGCTGATGTGCAGTAAAAGATCACAATAGACTAAGCACTCTATCTCGCTCACACCCGCTTGAACAGTTGCTACCTCGCGCTCGCACCTACAGCGGGCTCTCAATGTGTCTGGCAAGATGTAAGAACCATTAAAACTGTCCGGCTATTGGTTGGTAACATATTTTTATAAGTCCCCTAAGTAACATATATAAAATTTAGCTTTTATGAGTATAACGAAAGCATATAATTAAAATTTTATTAAAGTTTAGGGGGTCTGGCAGGGGGTAACAACTGGAAAAGGTGTCGCGGCAAACGGACTATCGTGATTTTCTAAAGATATTCTGGCGTTAAATAATTAAACACAAAGTAAACCTTTATACTTTAACGAATTTAAGGTACTATTTTATATACCTTTACTGCCTGTTACCTGCCCAAGTACACCACAATCGAAACTCTTAATCGCGGGTCGTTCTTACCTGTGTTGGAGACATACACAGAGAATCTTTCAGCTTTTATAAAATAACGAAGGTCTGGCTGTCGCGGGCTCTTGGGCTACAAGTCTCGCACGAGGCGGCGGAACAAGAGAGGGACAGCTCTTCACTGATGATTCACCGTCGAGCCGGGGGCCGCAGGGGATGGTACGAGCGTACGTCCCGGCCCCTGTAGGATGCGGCTTCTTCCCAATGAAGGTCACAGGGCGATCTGAGGAAGTCGAGGATGCATGGTATGCCACCAGCACTAGCGCGCCGCTCAGGTATCACATAAGAGCGACTGGCTGGAGGTATATCGCGTCTCGACCTGACAGGCTGCTTCCGCACCCTAGGGAACCGGGCTGCGCATATCTCGGTAGCTCCAGGGAAGCAAGGACTCTCTCGCGGCCACCTTGTGGTGTGAGGAGAGCTCATGACATATAGCCCTAGTGTATACTAGATCGGGCATATGGAGCGGCGGTCCGAAAGGTAATGGATTCTAATACCAATCCTTTTTCCCAACCGCTGTGGTGCGCGGAGAAAGAATATATGCTCAACAAACTGTCTTCACTTTGGTGCACCTTTGTGTGTTTTCTGTATGACCCCAGTAGTCAGCATTATTTAGTGGTAATAAGGCATACATTGATATCTACAGTTTGATGTCGGCATGGATATGACGTTATATTTGTCACCGTCTAATGCAGTCTCATCCGCTTCTACGTAACATATAAAAGTATTATCTTACGGTTGATCGTGATAAATTTAGATCGTTGCCAGAAGAGGAATTATTTTATTAAATAAATAACTCTAGGTATTGGAGTATCATCTGTATATTACTTTGATTTTCAGTAAGACCAGGCAGTTCAATGTGAGATGGATGTGTTATAGTATGGTTAGCGCCTAGCTGTGAATGCTGATATTAATCATAGAGTAGCACCTTTTACTGTTTTCACTGCAGCGTAACTGGCATACAACTGTGTTGGAGAGCTACAATGGTTACAGCTTACTCGGAAACTACTCTTCATCTTAAGCATGCCAACATTAGCTGACGATGCGGGTGAGGCACTTCTGTGGTATTAATGACTATCATACTTGGAGTTGAAGCAACGTAAGGCGATAGTTGTCGTCGAGCCTGGGTGTGTCATCCACATCTTAGTGCTAGTGTCTATACCTAGAACTGAAAATATTGTACCTGTATATCAAAATATAATTGCAGATTAGACCTAAATCGTCAACTAAAGGTTTTTTCTTGACTGTTCCATTGGGTCTTCAGTCATTCTCGCGATAACACGACGATAAATCTGCAGAGGGTATATCTAGATATCATAATTTTAACTTAGGCCTTCTCATAGAACAAATGATTTTTATTTTATCGGAATGACTTTTACACGTTAAGATCCTCGCGTATTATCTCAAAACGAAAAAACGCAATGGAGTTGTATAAAAATAACTTTGACGGGGCTTATGTTCTAATCAGAATAAATGATATACACAGATTATGTTGAAGTTAAAGGATACTTCCCTATAAAACTATATGATAGCACCTTTATGAATAATATAAAAATAAATATATAGATATTTCTTATCTATCCGATAGTATGACTAAGATCTTGAAAGGTAAAGAAAATAACATTGTTGTTCGTAATAGATAGAGGATTGCGTTCATGTGTGTATATATAATAGGGAAACAGAACTGAACCACAACCCATAGACGATCCTTTATGTGAGAAAAATAGAATATATGCATGTACGATCAGATAGGCCAAGGAGAAAATCAAATGGGGACTCGTATATGCTCGTTATGATGGTACATCAATTGGAAGGTATCTATCCCTACTGACTAATGGTACCGATGTGAAATGGTTGAAAGAATGCGTCGCACTAAAAATTCCCCCCTATACATTACGTACCAGAAGTTACGCATTAAAACCAGTATGTCTATCATTCTTGTAATAATAACTAAGATTTAATGTGCAAAGATTTTGGAGGTTTTTCCGTTGAACTGGACATATTTTTAAATTGGTTTCTAATGGCCCAACAGTTATACGTTCTGAGGTCGCTGGACGATACTGTTTACATGGAAATAAGAAACTGGCTCAAATGAGTAACCTGTAAGAAAAGAATTGTATAGAGTGACAATTTTTTCGGGGCCTATTAAAAAGATAATCTCATTACGGTACGTACAATTTTTGAGTGTATTAATGTCAGCAGTCTTGAATAGACATTGCAAATCTCAAGAGAAGATTTTAGAAAGAAAACTTGATGATGCCCGTTCCATAACAGATAAAGACATTGATGTTACCGAAGAAAACTTTACCTTACAATTGACTGGTGAGTTACATTAAATGTAAATTTTTGTTTAATGATAAGAATTTGTTTATTGTTAATATCCTGAATT